GTGACCGTTAAGGCCCTTGGGCCTCTTGTTTAACTTCCAAGAAACTTTTTTTTTTCTTTTTTTCCTGAATTTTCTTTTCACTTCAAGGTTTATGATGAAATTTTCTGGGCACAAAAATTTCCAACTACCTACCGACCCAATTTTTGAGTGGCAAACAGACTTTTTTTTTAAAGATGGTCCTGATCATTGTTTTTTTTTATCTTTCCAGATCTTGAGGTCCCTGTGTTTAATACCCCAGATCAAGTGTGACGTTTTCTTCATACAAATTCTGAAAAATCAATTTAATATTGATGTAACATAGAGATCGGTGAAGGGCTTCAAATTAAGACCTTTACTCGGCACTCAGGGCCATTGAGCAGTGAGGGATCTTTATCATGCCAACGCCTGTCGTGGCACAGGGCCTCGGTTTCTAAGGTCTCATCCGAAGGACCCGCAACTTTCACTTCAATGTGCCGAGCGTTTGGCAAAGGAACAGTTCCTACCTATTTTTTTTTATCGACTTAGGTCAGTCGCGGCCGTGATTCGAACACAAGACCTTCCGATCACAGAGCGAGCGCTCTACCGACTGAGCTACCGTGGCGGTAGACAGACAGAGAGACACCGGGTAAAGTGATCCCTAAGTGTCGCTCTGTTCTCAGGCGACAGAAAAGTATGTAGTTTACTTACAAAGATCGATATCGATACAACTCCACCAAATTGTAAAAAATTGTACTCGGTCGTTGCCATGTTTGTTTAGAACAAGGGATATTAAATGCCTGGATAAAGTGAGACCTCCTAGTTCCGAGAAATTAATTCTACATGGAAATGTCATCATCTTCAATTAAAAGAACTAAACTGCTGCAACTGGCATTAATTATTAGCCCGAGTTTGTATCTTTTAGTATTAAAGTACACTTCATCTTAATCTTTATGCTAAATATTATGGTAATATAAATTATTAGTAAGAGAAGTATTGCATAATAATTGAATCACATTAGTATACCAACAGGGAAAGGATACCATATTCACGTGGTAAGTTTCAGATGCATAAGGTGTAAAATGGATCTCCATAAATCCCTTTATGTCGGTCAGGGTTCTGTTGACAATTGTGTTTTGCCTTCAGTACAAAACTAACCAGTTAATATATGTGAATGGAAATTCTACAACTACGTTATTTTCTGTACAAAAAAAATATTAAAATGGTGCGTCAGTATGTGTTATTTTCAGTGACAGGTGCAATATATGATAAAAAATATATATTACAGTTGCCTATAATATCAAAAACATCATTTTAAGTGTGGCAATATGAATACGTTATCCAATATTTTTTAAAGTTCGTTTTATTATCCTTGATTGAAATTAAGCTTGTACAAAACGATTACAAAAAATACACTTTAAACTGCGTGGTAGAGGTAAAATTCATTTTATGTGAATAAAAGAGTTTGACACAGGTGATTAATGATTAATTTCAACTGTGGAAATCCAGAAGAGGATGTTGCCCTCTAACTGAATCTTGCTTGGCAAAATGTATAATGACTTTGCTTGAAAATTGATTACGATTCCGAATGGAAAAATACCCTTAAATGTATCGATAAGTTGATACTATTATGAAATAATGAAATATTTTTTTACAAGTAATACTATGACATTTCGCGAGCACTTTTCGAGTATACTCGCAACACTTGTAAAGTAAGACCGTCACGTGCTCATCAAAGTCAAGTGATGTCACAACATGCGTACATGTATGTGTTAATTTACAACTGAGGGAACCATACTTTTTTTATTTACTTAAAAATGATTTTATTTTCTTGAATTTACCAGATTCATTAAAATCTAGGGCGTGTTTTTTTTTTTTTTTTTGTATACTGGATTGAGGGAAAATGTTTAGGTCCTGCACATGATATTAAAGCACCTGCTCGTCCTCGACCGAACCAAATAAACCTGTGTGCCCTGCTAAATGGCTATGTATTAATTGATACTAAAATCTTTATAAGAATTACTTTACAAAATCTAAAAAAAAACTCACAGAAATAAGACCGCCTACTCAAAAATTGTGCATATTTTGTTAAGAATAAATAGCAAAACTTACATGTAATACTGTAACCCAGTCTGCAGTTACATTCAAGTTTAAATCCAAACCAAGCTCACAATTCAATATTGTTTTTAATGCATTTTAAAGTTTCGGGTAGCTGTAACACATCTGCGTGGCTTATTATATATCTACCTTTTTCTATTTCAAAAGCAATAAATCATTACGAAAAATAGCATGATTTTCCTATCTCTGGATTGCAAAACTCAAACATAATAACAAAATCATTGACTGATTTTAAATAAATAATAAGTCCTCACTTGATGCGGTTTTGGCTTCATTTTATTATTAAATAATTTTTCTTACCACTCATGTTCATCAAATGCAAAAAAAAACTTGAGCAAGTCTACACTTAGACGTATTGTATTTGACTTTAAAGTTAAAATTTAAAATTCATCAAAACGTTATCCTTCCTTGAAAGTTTGAATTTACCTGACCAAAGTATTAATGTCTACCGTCATTTCAGATATAGACTGTGAGTGTCTCACATTAGACGTAGCAAAATGACTCTGGACTCTGCCCATGCAAGTTAAAATTTAACAATTCTGTCTAAAACATCTTTTTAAACATTTTGTTTTGTATTTTTAACATTTTTCTTCGATTTTCTCTCGTATGCTAGATAATTACTTTAAAACAAACAAAGACCTTGTCTATATAAAATTAGCCAATAAGCAACCAGATGAGTACTGTAAAATTAATAGCAAATTTTTATCAAGCCGTAGCATGGCGTATAGTGTTTTGTCATCCTTACCCAAGAATTTGCATCCCGACGAAAAAGTTTTTTTGCCAACATATTTACATGTATTCAGTGAATATAATGTATCTACGAGTTACCACTAACTTACGTTTCCACGAACCAATTAAACTTGGCTTGCCCACGAACATTGACCCCACGAATTAAAATGATACCACAGTATCAATTCGTAACAGAGTCCAAATTAACCAAAACATGCCCGCTCTGTGTTTTTTCCCCGGTGCAAAAAGTTTTCTCCGTTGGTTATCTGGGATTATGTTCAAAAAACACACTACAAAAAATTGAAGATTTAAACTCTACATTTAACGTGGAAGATAAAAAGAAGATGGGTAAACAATGCGGGCGAAGTGCCTATAGTGCAACAAACATGAAATGAAAAATAAAATCTCAATTAGATCAAAGTTTTCTTTGATATTTCATCTTACATTACAGTATACTTTATGTAAAATATCTACAATTTACAAAAATCTCACAAAGACTGAAATTATTTGCCTACGAATTAACAGACACACACTAAAGAGGACATAAAGGATCATTTTCTCATACTTCAACAATTTTTTTTTCGATATGAGTGGGTCTTTCCTCCATTTTTTTTGAAAGTTAATCCTAAAAGTTTGCATAAAAATATACATTTTTTTGGTTTACAAAAACATGGAGCAAAGACCCACTATACCTTAAAAGTACACTTTTATGACAAAGCATTCGTATCTTTCCGAGAAATACTTGAAGTCCATTAAGTCAAGGGTCATATCACAAACATGATTTAAATGCCACCATTCATCATGATCTGTGTAGCGTAGTGGTTATGTGTTAGTCTCAAAGAAATATAATACTCCGGATTTTTATTGTTTGAATCCCTAAAATCCATCTTATTATTTTAATAAAAGAATTTTTTCCAAGATCTTTTTTTCTCAGAAAAGTTTTGTTGATCATAATTTCATAAATTTCAATAATGAGAACTTTACTTTAAATACTTCATTCACAAATTGAATACGATTTTTTTTTAAATCTGAAGCTATAGGCATTCGGCACGCCTTGTTCACCCATCTTCTTGTGATAAGTATGGCTGTTTAAATTTTCACATTTCTGTCTCCTTTACCAGAAGGATTAAGCAGATTCACTCCCTTTAATTCCAAGGTGAAGTGAGCTTAATTTTGTCAAAATTGTCTTTCAGGTGAGCGTCGTTGCCCACAGCCTTTTTAATTAGCACTGTGTTTTGAGGAGACGTACACTCTGATGATAAATGGTGTAGAAATATGACGATTTACATTTAGAATACGGTTAATGAGTCCACATAAAAAAAATTCCATGTACAATTTGGTGCATCACACATTCAAAATTTTAGAAATTAAATTAGGGATTTTATTCTGCGAAACAATCTCAGTTTGAAAATATATTACGAGAAAGGTTTTCTTATTAATTACCAGAAAAATATATTATAATTAACATAATGTAAATTCAATTTTTTTTAAAATCTAAAAGCATTTAATAAATTAATAAAAATAATAGAGTGAATGAAAATGATTTCAGAACGGGTTCTTCTTTATTTTCATCAGATGTGAATCCTGAAAATTTTCACCTTTAGAATATATACCAATATACACGGCAGTTCGTGATGACCTTACTCATATTTCACCGTCTCTTCTCTGATAATTTCTTGCATAATTAATATGGACAGCAATCTTTAGTAGCGTGAAATACCATTAATTTTAATTTGTACGAATAAAGGGCTTGTTTTGACAGTAAGTAAAACATTCAAAAGCTGTCGTCACCTGGTGTGTCACGAGGTCAGATTTTATTATTGCACAACTAAAGTGACATAGGACGAAAATAAAATTAATGAACATACTTGTTTGATAATTTCTTCATTTAAATCATGGACAAAAATTAACAGTGTTAATGATACTGCGTTTATATTTACAAATAAGTTTTAATGTTAATTACAAATACATTGTACGGACGTTTTCCTTTTGGGGGAGAAAAATAGCCCCAGACTTTAATGACTATAAACAATTGTGGCCTAATTGAAAAAATAATGTGAGAGTTTGAGATGTAAATTGACAATTACGTTAGTTTACGATTTACAAATGACGCAATATTCAATTTATTTTGTTTAAACGGACAGACTGGTTGCATTTCTAAGTGGAATATTTCATGGAACGAAAAAGTAAATTGTGGAATTTTTTTTTTAATGTGATATTTGCAAATGTCACTGCCAGTCGCACGTTGACTTCCTTTAAATAAGTGGATGTTTAGATATAGACAACTGCAATTTCTTCCACATATTAAAAAAACAAGACATTTTACATTAGCCGTAAAGGTGATATACTTCTTTAAAACAAGAATTTAAACTGATACATAATCGTGCTGTAACAAGATGGAAAATTCCAGGGAATTTACAAGAAAAGGAATACATGTATATAAAAATGGGGCACGGTTTGAAAGTTCTAAGGTAAGATTTGATAAAAAATACAAACATTACAAAGTATTAATATTTGTTAATTGAAAAGAAAGGGATACGTTAATTTGATCCCTTTTTAGTAATAATGATAACAGAAACAATGCGATAATGTTTACAAATCATTTAATATTTACTTTTAAAACTGATATCAGGCGCATAGCTGCCTATACTCGAGTACGCAAATGCGTACAAATAGGGGGAAAAAGAATTAACGAAAGGGAGAGATTTTTTTTTTTTGGAGAAAGAAATCTAACATCTAGTAAATATTTTGTGTTTCAAATTACCTTGTTGTCATATTGTTCTGATTCAAATTTTATGCAATAATTAAATTTGAGATCTTTGCTTTAAATCATTGTCAATTCCAAAAAAGATTATTTACCTATTTATAACTGTTCTGTAACACACTGGTATTTTTTCCCAAAGATCTTTCAGAAATGAAATTTCAATCACATTGCAGAATGCATTGATATAATACTGTTTGATTTAATATACAGCATTTTGTGTTAATAACTTTTTTATACTTGTTGCTGAGCGTTCAAAAGAGTAGATGATACCAACATATATACATGTATTGATAATATTCATCCTCAATTAAATGTACAATAAGTCTCCAAGGAAGTATTAACGTTACGTTAAACAATATTACCACGTCTTCTATTTTGAAAAGAAAAGCATATTTTTTTCCCAGGAAAACAACTGAGATACTTAGTGTCACCCAAGAGATTCCGGTGGCTTCGCCTAGCTCTAGTCCTGAAGTAGGCCACCAGACACCACACTGCCTACGCTGCCACCAATTTTGTAACGTGAATCGGTCACCCATCCAAAAGTTAAACTTAACTTGCCTGAAATAGAGGGAGACTCTACCGCATCACTAGATCAGCTAGCTCACTAGCGAGGCAGTAAAAGTTCCCTGTATACTGTTCGCTACATTATTTTATTTGAACTGCATACTTATTTATATCGTCGGCTATGAAAAATACTTTTTCTAACAAGCATTCTGAGAGTATTGCATTAGCAATACTAGTCCCCTACCGGCAAGTGTATTCTGGTTCCCGTTAAATATTAAAAATGCCATATTTCCTTCAAAAATCAATGAAGTGGAATGAAACGCAAACTTGATCTAGAACTCATCAAGGTAAAGTCACATACCAAAAATCAGGTCAATATTTGCAAGCGTTTAAAAAAAAAAGTGCGGAAAAAATTGAAAAGGTCGTAATTCCGACAAAAATCATTGAAGCGGAACGAAATGCTAAATTGATCTGTTATTTATTAAGATACACTCACATACCAAAAATCAGCTCAATATCTGCAAGCGTTTAGAGAAAAAAAGCGGAAAACCAAGTGGGACAGACTGACAGACGGACGGACAGACTCAGAAGAAACCTATAGTCCCCTCCGGTTTCATCGGTAGGGGACTAATAATCTGAGAGAAAACATTGGTCAGCGGATATTCAAACTAATACAAAAAAAACAACAACTTTAGTGCATTTTTTCTTCTTCCTAATCGGATATATTGGTATATTTTATAACTTGGCATATACGTCTTCTTTCAGTCTGTACCATATTTAGAAGTTCCTACCTGGGTATCCTTGACATGTAGTAGAAAAAACTGTTGTGGAATGGACAGCAATTTCAGATCAATTGACACTACTTCCCTGGGAATGGGAAGTACTTTCGGTGAGATCGGAAGCCCTTCAGACGTGTCATCGTTAGGGTCCGAAAAAGACAGAGGATTCCTAAATAGGAATAAATCAAAACGAGGCAAAATGGCAGTGCTGTTTTTAGTTCTATTCATTCTGATTACTTTCATTGCTGCAGCTGTTGGGGTAACACTAAGCTACGTCCACCATCGAGGTTAGTTAAAAGAAGGTTAACAAATGCTGGGTATTTTGTTATATGTCATAATGTGTTAAAATGCTGGTACATATGTGATAGAAGGGACATGCATGGAGACTAAAGAAAGAGAATTGAAAAAAAAATGGAAATTTGTCAACTGAAACAGTTTGTTTGTTTGTATGTTGTTTAACGTCCCTCTCGAGAATTTTTCACTCATATGGAGACGCCACCACTTGCCGGTGGAGAGCTGCAAATTTTGTGTATACTCGGCACTTACGGCCATTGAGCAATGAGGGATCTTTTTCGTGCCAGCACCTACTGCGACACGGGACCTCGGTTTATACGGTCTCATCCGAAGGACCGGTCTCCACGTCCCACAGTGGGATTCGAACCCGCGACGAAAGGATCAACTCCTTACACCGCGACTCTAGAGCAGACGCTCTAACCACTGCGCCACGCGGGCGACCAACTGAAACAGTAACATAAACACATGTAAACTTTCCCACATAAGGCTTACATGTACGAAGAGTGGGACTGGCAGAGATTGTAACCTCTGGGTCGAGGCCTCTGCTGGTGAACTGTTAGTCCCCGAGGGCCTCTACAGCCCACTAGCTACGTAATTCGGTGCTAGCTTTAAAATACGAATATATATTTAATTGCTGTGGTAAAATTAAAAAAAATATCTCAAAATTAAAGATTATTTCCTTCATGCGTAGCTCTGATCATTCGACGTATTTGGCTCTAGTCTTTGGCACCCCCTATTTTCAGCTCTTCCAAGTTTTTTTAACGTAAATATATCGGATTTCCAACGTTTCGGCATGAGCATCACTGAAGAGACATAATTTGTCGAAATGCGCATCTTGTGCAACAAAATTGTTACCTTATATGATTTACCTCACTCCTCCTTGGCACATGATCTGTGTTTCCAGGGAGTCCGTGTGTTTGCCCTTTTCATGATTTGTTTTGTTTACTGGATTTATGATATTAATTACCGTTCGATATATTCATGGTTTGCATATAAACATTGTTTAAATATAAACTTCCATTATAACAACCGTGAATCTCATGATCAGTGCGTGGAGATGACCAAAAATTATTGTTTTCTCTAAAATACAGAGTACATTGGTATTGTAAAGTCCTCAAATTAAATTGACAGCATTATCATGCAGTGCGGTTTATTTAAGTATTTGAATGTTGTGATATGTATGGCCTGTAAGAAAGTATGTGTGAAATAGGTAGGGGGAACAAAGGTCCAATTTTGCATCATAATATATACCACAAAATGTAAGAATTATGCAGACATCATCACGTGATGGAGAGGTCATGACCCAGTCAGGAATGAGGCTCCAGAGGGGTTGAAGTTTATTTAAAACACAGGGGTAAATGTGAATCATGATCAATCATCTGAACAACAACACTTTCACTTTCATAATAAATACATATATTGAACTTATCATTCTGCAGCATTCCTTGGAATATGAAATGAATTCGAATGATTTATAAGGAAATATGATGCGTCATTCTTTTCTTTTCAATGGCTACAAGGTGTACAGTTATTTCATTAAAAAAAAAAATTTTTCCGCATCATTTTTTTTTCGATTTAAATTCAACGTAGTTTTAAAAAGTCTACACAACATCGAGTTTTATCATTGTTACATGTATACCACCGCAAATAAAGTTTTGAGCTATATAAATATCCCTTTGTCCGTCTGTTGGTAAGCCTGTCCGTCCGTGCAATTGTGTCTTGGTTGTATGTTTGTTATGGAGAATTATTGGAAGCACAAAGATTGTTTTATGACCCAAGGGTGTGTTATGACCTTGACCCACTGTCATTTGGCAAGTTCAAGATCATATACTAAAAAATGCAACATTTGTCTCCTGTCTACAATTAATTAATGGAGAAACACTGGATGTCAAAACCTAAAACAGAGATTGCTTATGACCAAAAGGTGTGACATGAAATTAATTCCAGGTCATTTGATCAATTTGAATTTTTGAAGAGAACAGTTTGATTCCTGTTCTGACCATATCTTATAATGGAGAGATTAAATGACTCACATTTATCACAAATATTGCATATCACCTGAGGGTATATACTATATACTTTCACCCACGGTCATTTTGGCAAGTTCAAGATCACTTTTAGAGAAAGGGTATATTTTTCATGTTTAGTCTATAACAGACTAATTTGAAGTTCATACTTGACACAGACATTGCGCATGACTGAAGGGCGTAGTATGATCTGTCCCAATGTTGTTTTGGCAAGTTTAAGGTCTAGCAGAAAAAAAAGTTAAACATGTGCCCGGTCTATTATTTTCTAATGGAAAATATTAAAAGTTAATACTTTACTAAAATATTACTTTTTTCCTAAATGGTGTTATGACCTTAAAACAAGGTCATTCTTGCAAGTTCAAGGTCATTTGTAGAAAGATTAAAGAATGTTGTGTACAGTTCATAAATCTCTCTTATGGGTAAGTATCATACGTTGAAACTTCAAATACGATTATTACTTGGCTGAAGGTATGTCACAGCCTTGACCTAATGCCAGTCTGGGAAGTTCAATGTCACGGCCAGAAAAAGGTGTAAAGTTCATGTCAAGTCCATAAATTGAATGTTCATATTTCACTCAAAGATTACTTATGATCAGAGTTTGTGTCATTCATTTGGACCAGGACAAATTAAGAAAATTTTAGAAAAATACTGCACGGGGTAATTTTTTTGAGCAAGCTCACAGTACCTTTAGTTTTTCTCTGCAGATATTGTGAGACTCCATGTGAATTTCAGCGTTGATAAATACAACGAAACGCTGATGTACAAGAGGCAGCTGGAAGCTGAAGCATCTGAATTCTGTAGGAAGGTAAGAATTATTTCATGCAAATGTTACACCATGTCGGAGAATAGACGACTTTCACATTTACAAAAGTAATGTCTCTTTCCGGGGTCAATCGGCGTAACCCACTGTCTTACCTCTATAAAATTACTAACTTTATGAGGCAGTGTCATAAAAATTAAATGTAAACGTATAGTTCATTATATTTTTCTCATGCCCCATACTTTGGCAATACAGGAACAGTACAAAAAAGTTCGAAAGCATTGAATGTTTACAGGTGAGTTACAAAGGATATAAAAAGAAAAATGAGCGTTTTGTCACCAAAGAGATATAACTCTAAAGAATGTGAAAGTCGTCTGTTGTACTTGATTTTCAAATGTTGTTTAATGCAATAAAGCTATTCTACAGGAATTGCAAAATGTTTATTCGATGTAATTATTATCATGTTTTGTGTGTCTATATACAATATAAAGAAATTTTAATCGAATTATCAATACGGCAAGTAGGATCACTTAAATTAACCCTGTAGAAACAGAGATATTTTATTTTATATGAAATTTCATCCTTAACGCTTTTGAGGAACAATTATATTTAGGTAAAGGATGCGTTTCGTTCAACAGGACTTGAATCCCATTTTGTGGAATGTAAATGCGTAGACACCAGGTAAGGAATTTTTTCCACAAATATTTACTCATAACAAAACAATTTTTGTATTTTTCTTTAATTTGTCGACGTACCTCTGCATTCGGAAACTTAAGGTTATCAAGCTATTTTTCACTCCCTTTATACAAAAAAAAAATAACTAATGGTATATAGCAAGTGATACTGTGGGCATTTTTTTATGTTCTTGTCATTTGCTTTTTTAAATAATGTCGTTATTATTGTTAAGCATTAGCTGTATTTTCCTTTAAAAAAGATATTTTATAAAATGACATAAGAGATTATCAACAAAGTAATTTCTCCTATTAATTATCAGGAATGAAGGATTCAATGCAATGTTCGAAAATTTTCATACATAAAAGGACCCCGAACACTATAAATCCATATCTTCAGTAATTTAACATTAAGCATTTTTATTGGCTGAGGTCAAGTTATTCTCCTTTAGGATATCTTCTCATTATTTCATTTTTCCAAAGGTTGACTAAAGATTTCTGCACAAAAATATCTTGTCAGGAGGACAATACATTTCTTTAACTTGTGTAATATATTTGCGTACTTCTAGACGTACACAAAGCAAAGTAACGTTCTCCTTCCAACTTGATTTTGCTGATAAGGAGAAAGACAATATTGACCAAATCAAGGGTGTCATCGTAAGTGTTGTCAATGAAAAGAAGAGGGATTTGGAATTCAGAGCATTGTATTCCCATCCACCTCAGCCACCAGGAGATGCAGATAAAGAAGGTACAGTTTTAATTCATTAATGAAAAAGGTGAAGAAAACGAACAGTGATTGATCTAACAGGAAATCTACAAACAATTCAAATCTGAGTTCGGACATAATATACGGATCCCAGGAAATTTCAAAGGTAAGATCATGTTCCTAGGAGGAGTAAGCATCCCCTGTTGACCAATCACGCCCTACAGTACCTATCGCCTGGTCTCACCTGCCCTATGTATAGAACAGGTAGACGGACTACTCCATAGTCAAAATTAGGATAAGAACAAAAGCCTTATAATTGGTATGAAATATGTCGGTAAAAATACGACCCAATGATTGGTTGTATTTGCTAACAAGGTCATTTTAAAGACCATAGAATTTAGGAAATTCGAGTGAATTTCAGTCAAATTTACCATTATTCACACATTAATTGTATTGAAATGACCACTTCAACACATTATGAAAATATTACATTTTAATCATCGATGTCATGGAAAGTAACTTCTGCATTCTTGACACTCACCTTGTCTAGCTTTTTGTCGTTTTTTCAATCCGTGTGTTCCTGTTTACTTGTCAAGGGTATGGCTAAGTACATTGTTTGTTTTAAAGTCCCTTTAGAGAATTTCTCATTCATTGGGACGCAACCAGTTGCCGGTGGAGGGCTGGAAATTTAGACCTATACTCGACACTAAGAGCTATTCATAGGCACTCCCCAGCTTAATTGTTAAAAAATATATATCTACTATACTACAAGCTTATCTTTTAAAAAAAGATAGGTGAGCTAGCGCTGTAGCTATCATAAACCACAGAATTAGATATCTGAATTATTGGATTAATTTGCTGAATCGATTAAGGGGACGACCATTTGATTCTGAGGAGGGGGGGGGGGTCTGGTAAAATCTTTCGAGTCAGATTATTTATTTTCATGCCAGTCAAGGGCAGATTATTTATTTTCAAGATGATCAAGGACAGATTAATTATTTTCTTCTTCACTGAAAAAGTTAGACAAAAACAAAAAACAAAAACAAAGTTCAAAGAGGGACCGGGGGGGGGGGTGGTTAAGTAGCAATAGTCAATGACAGATTATTTATTTTCTTGCCGGTCGTGGAAAGACAGTTATTTATTTTCAACTTTTTTGAGGACATTATTTATTTCCAAAATCTGCCAGCCCCCCCCCCCTCCCCTTCAGACTCAAATGGTCGTCTCTAATTATTAATAGGAATACACAGTGGTACACCGGAGGTACTGTTGGGGGGATGTGTCTTAATTCAGAATGGCGAATGTATCAGCTATTCAGTGTTTAATACAGAATATTCATCAGACTATTTATAAAAAAACATATCCGAGGTTGTTATTCCGAGCTTGCCGGAAAGATCCAGGAAGATAGTTAAAAAATAGCTTCTTTTTTTTAATTATGAATTTAGAAATTATAACTGATCTGTACAGTTTTGGCATTTACTGTTACCTTTTGTACATTTATTTAAGGTTAGGCAACAAAACGCGAAACTTCAGATCATATGTATTTTCAGATTAAAAAACGAAATTGACATGGTACAGTTTATCTACAGTAGTATTCACAGAATGCCCTACCACGAAGTTGAGCATACGTATTCCAGTAAAAAAGACTAACGTAGTTGCTAGCGCTCTAGAGCGCTAGCAATAACAATCGGATCATTACTCAGGCTTTTCCGTCAAAAAATGAAAAATTAAAGAATAACAATTATATCAGTGCTACTGCATTGTATCAATCGCTTCTCGTGTCTTTCCGACAAACTCTGAAAGATTTCCGGGGGGAGGGGGGGGGGGGGGTCTGAGCTTGCCGGAATCATCTAGGAAGGTACATGTAGTATACATGGTTAGCTTTAAGGAAAGCTAGGTTTTACCAGTTGATCTCTACAATCTTGGCATTATATGACCCAAATTTTCTTATACTTTTAGTCATAGGTTAGACAATAAATTAAGAAATTCAGAATTCGTATCATATCAATTTTTTATGATAAAACGAAATTATCATCGTACAGTCTACCGGTATCTTCAGTAGTTTTCCCAGAATGCCCGACCGTGAAGTCGAGCATGCGTATTCCAGAAATATAGACTAACGTAGTTGCTAGCGCTCGAGAGCGCTAGCAATAAACATAACAAGGCATGAAACAAGCCTCCATGTAGGATTCCGCTTAGGGGCACTTTCTGACTAATACCGAGAATTTCTCGCCCAAGTCGGACTTTTCTCAGACATCGAAAGCTGTCATTTATTGAAATAAAATCAAATCAGGTTGAATCTCGCAGTACGTCCGTCGCATTCACGCGTTTTCTAGCATTTCTCTGCAAACCAGGTCTCCTCGGCCGGAACTTAAAGGTTTATGGGGGTATAGATAATTCGATCATCGTTTACCTTCAAAGTACGAGAACGACATTTCGCGGAAAACTAACATTTAATTTTCAAAAATGAACAAAATCTATTGTGAAATATATTTATTTGTATATCAATAAGACATTCAATTTTTCTTTGCATTTTTATCACTTCTATTGATAAAAAAGAAGTCTAGCAGATACTTGAACTTATGAAAATATATTGTCACCCGGTTAGTCTATAAGTCGGCAGAGCCAATGGGTTATATATATATATATATATATATATATATATATATATATATATATATATATATATATATATTTATAAGCAGTCTTAAAGACAGTGGCAGATTTATTCGGGGGGGGGGGGGGGTCACCCCCTTTAAAATTTTTAAGAAAAAAAGGAAAAGGGGGGGGTATTCAATATAAAAGAAAGTCTTGATAAAACTTATGCTTTAATACTAATTTTAACTACAAGTATTATGAGTTTCTATTGCCATTTAATCTTTTTGACCCCCCCCCTTTTTGAAATCCCGGATTCATCTCTGGAAAGTATACTTGCATACATGTAAATTATTAAGTATTACTTTTATTGCAAAATAAATAAATATACAAGTACATGAATATTTTATCCTGATAACGGGACTTATTTCTTATAGATGGTGTCATATAGATACTGATTAGTTTTGACCAAAAACCAGCTTCAGTCTGGACAGTTAACAAATGCAAAGGCAGCTAGATTAGGAGTCATTTATTAGACTATAGCTTATGTCATTACAATGAACTTCCTGAGCCCCGCCCCGCGCTGATTTCACTGCAACAACTACATATAAACACAATCATATACAAAAAGTGCTAAACTATTCATTTCGTCATGCGCAAGATTGTAAAGTGTGAATTTGCACATGACAACTACAGTGAAGGATTCAATTCGTGATGTGTAATTCTGAGGGGACAACTATTTGATTCCGATAGGTGTTGGTAGATTTTGGAGAGAAAAAAATCTGTCCTAAAAAATGTTGGGGAAAAAAAAATTATTTTCCAATAGGAAGAAAATGAATTATTTGACTTCGAGTTATATTAACCTCCTCCCCCCACCCGCAGACACTCTAATTTTCTCATTTTTTTTCTTCATTTTTTCCTACCTACTTTTTTGGTGTATAGTATAAATAAAAAAAAAATTCCCTAACCATCTAGGAAATAAATAATCTGTCCTCAATGACATGGAAATAAACATTTTGACTCGAAAAAAAAATCCCCCCCCCCCCTTTAGAAACAAATTGTCCTCTAAATTCCATCATTGAACTAAAAAAAGCCAAGTCTTTTCCTTGTACATAGTTCTTTTTCTTCCAATACATTTCACAATTTTCGTGCAGAACTTACTTCTGCAAATATCCGCTATATTTTATTATATTTATTTACTAAACATTTTACCACCACCCCCCCGGTTTAATCCATCTGCTTAAACGTGTCCCTCCCCCTCCTTTCGCCCCTACAATTTTGCCAATACTTGATCGAATATACTAATACTGTGCAATAGAAAACAAACCTACCTTACGACTGTCCTCCTTTAATAATATTTTTTCTTGTCAAAGAATTGTTGTTCAGTTGACCCCCCCCCCCCCCCAGCACACACACACACACACAAACACACACTGAAACTGCTTTTTATGGGCCTGAAAATGTGTATTAAAGCTTGCAAGGTCCTCTTGGTGTAAAATTATATTTATTTCACAGTACATTCGTTTGTTATGAAAAAGAACGTTAGCTTTCCACGAGATGTACTTTGAAGGTAAACGACGATCGAATTATCTATACCCCCATAAACCTTTAAGTTCCGGCCGAGGAGACCTGGTTTGCAGAGAAATGCTAGAAAACGCGTGAATGCAACGGACGTACTGCGAGATTCAACCTGATGTGATTTTATTTCAATAAATGACAGCCTTCGATGTCTGAGAAAAGTCCGACTTGGGCGAGAAATTCTCGGTATTAGTCAGAAAGTGCCCCTAAGCGGAATCCAACATGGAGGCTAGTTTCATACCTTGTTATGTTTATAGTATAGTAGATATATATTTTTTAACAATTAAGCTCGGGAGTGCCTATGGAGCTATTGAGCAATGTGGGATCTTTTTGTGCCAGCACCTACTGCGACACAGGACCTCGGTTTATCCGAAGAACCGGTCTCCACGTCCGCAGTGGGATTTGAACCTGCGACTTGGGGATCAACTCCTTACTCTTCCACTCTAGAGTAAACGCCCTAACCACTACACCACGACAAGTATAAAAGTAATGAAGAGAGCATAAAAGCCCAAATTTGACACAAACCTTGCTTATAACCATTGACTGTTTCTAAAATTTGACTCAAAATAATTTGCACAAGTCGGATAGTTCAAAGAATTGTCACAGTGGGACTATTTCCCGAATCGAAGCGTCTCTTCAATTAACTGTTTAATTTATTGTTTCAAAAGTAAACTCTAGATGATTACGGATAACCGGGAATTAAGTTTTGGAAGCAGGGACTAGCTTGACTAACGCATGAAAAAACGGCTTTTACTCCATTAACAACGATTTTTTGGGGAATTCTTCACACCTTATGATCTAATTTTATATAGGAAGAACAGTGGTGGTATAATAAAAGAAATTATTACCCAACATATTTATTTACATATTTTTTTTTTTTTAATTTTTTTTTTTGGGGGGGGGGGGGTGGTCTCGAAATGAATCACAAGACTATTCCGCAGTATATTGCGTAAAGTCACGTTATTTTGAAAATCAAAATAAAGTGAATTGATGTACATTTTTCTACCAATTTTGTGGCTGTAATCAAACAAGGTTTTTATTTTTACTTTCATAAAAGAGATTATGATATGTCTCTAACCCTAGATTATCTAGAAAGTGTAAAGCAACCTTAATAATTATGCAAAGCGTCTTAAAAAATCGGATGGGAAAATAAAAAATATATATATAAATACAGGACAGCTTGCCTGTAATGAAGTATTTGTCGACCTTAAGTTTTTGAACCAAGATGTCTTGATAAGAGAGTTTGTGATAATAAAATTTTAGTGGATTTGAAGTTGACAAATAATTGCTTATAACCATCAGGTAGAGAGTAACTCTTTGCTAGTGAATATTGCTTACATGTGAATAATATAAAATCAATAATACAGGCATGGGGGCTTTTTGTACATCACTGTTTGAATTGTACCGAGAAAACAATATACTTTGTCTTTTTTTATAATCACACTGATAATGTGAGTATTTCTTTTTAACCGTTGTATTTAGGGCCTGTTGAATTGAAGACAAAAGATGAAGAAACTGCAGCATCCACGAAGACAACCCCTGCTGAAATAAAGTCCACAACACAAAGAAATAGAAAGATATTTCCAAAAACTAATTCCACTACATCAAATACCAATACGGCATCAAGTAGCAATTTTAAAAGTATTCAAAAAGTGACAGTCAAAACTACAACCATTGCAACAAAAACAGTCTCCACGACACCGGGAATGAATGCGTGGGACAGACTATTGTCTCAGTTAAACATCACTGGAGGTTGATAACATGGTGAACAGTACAGCTGATGTCCACTGCTATTTCCTTTCAATCTCGTTCAAAGATGATTAAATCTATTGTTATTTAATCTTGACATTCATGCATTTCATCATTGCTTGCTTACGGGGTAGTCTGAATATCAAACGATCAGGTCTATACAAAGATTAGCAAACTATTGCTGATAATGAGGTTTTAAACTGATAATGGGAAATTACATGTATTACTTTAAAATTCTGTATGCTCATCTGTGTATATGTCACAGTTGTAATTAAATTATGATTATCATTATTATTAAATATGAAAATTATGCTTTTGAAATATTTAGTACCGTATTCCGATTGGCGCGCATAGCCAATCGAATACAACCGGTTTTGCAGGTATGTGAGAGCCATGTGCGAGTGTTTTGTTTTGTACAGGTGAATTTCTATTTTTAGCATTTCTATACGTATGACTGACCAGTGACCTACCATGGACCAATGGATTTCACTATACTAATTTATATGCATGTTTTTACTAACTCGTGCACTATATAAAGTAGGAAGCCCGCCAAATTCCCCACCCCAAACTTTTGTGCCTTTACGGTAACAGATAACGTATTGGTTATATCTTAGATCGATTCAATCGATGTGTATTATTTATTCCTGACTTTTATAATGGATGCCTGGTTTTTTTCTGTATCCATAATTAAATTATAAGACCGAACCAGTTTTGTTTTCACTGAAAAAAAACAAGACCCTGACCCTGTGACATATGGCGCCCACGTTAATGATGTTACTATGATGGAAACCAGGGTGCAGTTCCTGGGACAAGGCCGAAACGCCACTCGCCAGTGCCGCTGTGACGACCAACGCAAAGATTCCAGACAGTAGGCGTACAATTTTCATTCTACATAATCATGACAAGTGAGTTCTATTCATGATTGTACTCGCTACGTGCTTCGAGTCCGTGCGAAATCAGTATACTTAATATTTTTTCGCTAGATACGAGTCCACCTGAGTTCATTTCAGGACAGTTGTCCACTATCCAGTGATCCGTAGACTAACTGACATCTGTTTTGTGCGAGGAAAAGAATTTCGCGCTACAAGTTGTGAAAAGACCCTACCGCGGTGAAACTATCCATTCACTGATTCAAATCTTAAATTTGGCCAGTGAAAAATAAAATCTATCCAGATATATCTGTGCTATTAATTACTATATATGTTCTGTGTCTTTGTGTTTTGTATTGTATTGAATATGTCTGTGTATTATTCATGTTTAATGTATGGTGTGTGAGGTTGCCGGCTTTGTGAATGGGTGCAAGGTGCGTGTTACTCATGTGTAAAATCATCGGGCTCGACATTCATGTTTTCATTTGTTATGATATTGAACTTCCGGAAGTGTAGAAAAAACGTGTTTGTCAAATGTTCGACATGCTTTGATAAACTCTTAGCTGCCAAACGCGTATGTTCAATAGGGTAAACAATTTTTCTGTGTATTTTGAATGTCTGTGATGCATTGTTGTTCACTGTCAATGTTCTTTTGTCTGTCAATGTCATTGTCTGTGGTACGTTGTGTGGCATGTGTTATTCGTACAGTAGGCTAGTTTACAGTAGTTTGAAAATCATTCCCTGCGCGCGATCACTTTTTTTTTTTTAATTGCAGCATTACTAACCAAAGTACAGGACTTGAAAGCAGGACAGTTATACAAGGCAGACAGGTATATTTGTGTATATTTTCAGGTTTATTGTGTACATAAATGTGTTTGTGGAGAATTTGAATGTGTGATTACTAGTGTGTTGACAGATGCACTTTGCGATAAGTTTAATTTTGCTTGCAATTTGGTGTCAGTTTTCTGATCATCCTCAAATCAACATGGCATTTGGTGGTGATGAAACCATAGGAAAGAAAGATTTGCATGAAATTAGAGATCAAATTAATGCAGAACAACATTACAGGGTAATACCAAAGGAAGAGTATGACATGTTAAAATCACAGAAAATTCCTATTAGTACCCCTAAGGTTCAGCAAGATGCGAGTGAAGATGCTATACCAAAATTACCACCCCTAGGTCAAGTACCATTCCATAGTCATATACCCTCACCAGGTTATTTACACCCACCAGGTCTTATGTCATCACTAAGGTTTTTTAATAGCTCTGCTCTATTTCAGAATAACAACCCTACCCCTATTAAACTCCTAAATTTCAGTGGTAGTGAACAAACTCGAAAGGGAGAAGTGAGCTATGATGTATGGTCATACGAGGTTCGGTGTTTAAAGGGCCAGTGGCCTGATCATGTTCTTTTGCAGCCAGTTAGAAGTTCTCTGAAGGGCACAGCAAGGGAAATCCTGATTCCACTTGGAGAAAATGCAACTGTAGACAAGACATGGTAAAGATTTCCAAAGCAGAAGACATTACATCAGACCAGTCATTTCTGGTGTACAACCAATGCCTGATGAAGCTTGCAGCAATCAATGTCCCAAAAACCTGTACAGCAAAAAACTGTGGAGCAGAAGTCTCTGTCACCAGGAGTATCATTGGATCAGCAGTACATTTGAAATGGGTAAATGATAAGTGTTTTCTAGATTTTTAGTTGTGCTTAATTAAAATCTTGGTGGAATTAAGGGAGAGGTGGATGGGAGACAAATCAGAGAAAATTGATTCAAATTTTCATTTATTTTACAAATTGTCATTTAACGTGTTGCTGAGAGTTATTTTCTTATATTTTAGCTTTCATGTCTGATGTTCATTATCACTGTTTAATTACATTCACTAATTAACAGGTTTGCAGAAAAAATCATGTATTGTACGAGTGGTGCTCCCAACCCATTTTAAACAGAAGAATGCACAGTGGGGACTTGATGCTTGCATCAGCCATTTTGCTCTCGGGAAATAACTTCAAAAAGATTGAATTGATGTGTAAATTTTTAAATCTTCCAATAATAAGTAACACCACCTTTCATAAAATACAGAGGACATATCTTATTCCATCAGTAGATGAGTTTTGGGCTGATAATCAATTGAATACCATCAACCAATTCCTTGGTGAAGATTTGGTCATCCTTGGTAAGTATTGAAAAAAAGGAAATGTATTCTGAGCCACACACAAAATGTGCGAGTTCCATAAAAATCGCTTTGTTAATCCATCTATCCTTCCACCTTTATGTCGACATGCAATTTTGTTGTGACAAGATAAGTTTAGATGTATTAATGGGTTCATACAGAGGTACTTGATTATAATACAAGACAACTAATCAAAAAGTGTGTCTGATCGGATAATGTAGGTATGTGTTTCTACTTCAATCAGCATTATTTTTTTGTGATGGAGTATGAATATCTCCAACAGTTATTACATTTTAGCCTTATACAGAAGAACATGTAGTTACCAAAGGAGGAAGGCACATATATGAGGGTCATATCAGTTTCCTTGGTTGTATCAGTATATAAACATTTTTATATATATCCAAGGAACTTTCTGTTAGGGAGAAATTTATATCACACTATATCCTTCAAGCTTGCATGTTCACATCCATGATAAATTAAATCATTACAGGGACTTTCTATATAAGTGTTTTTATTTTTCTGGTTGCAATGTTTAAAGTTTTAATTATACAAATAACATGACTGATTTAAAATTATACATTGTTTTATTACCACAACTTTAATGTGTTTTATAAACTATGAATGTTTTATATTTTTATGTCCACATAAAATGTGGAAATTAAATATGAGCAATTTTTCAATTTCATTTCAAGGTGATGGAAGAATGGACAGTCCTGGACATTCTGCACAGTTCTGCTCCTATACCTTTATGGAGTATAGTTCTAAAAATATTCTATGTGTGGTCACCATGGACAAAAGAATTACGGAACTCAAAAGCACAAATTTAGAGAAAGCTTGTTTCATAAAGGGTTTCAATTTCTTGCTTGACAGTGGTTTGAAAATTGTTGAGGTTGTCACAGATGCCCATAATCAAATTGCTGCAGTGATGAGTAAGTTTTACTACACACTAAAGTGAATTTGTTACCAGTATTCCAGTTTCTATACAGAGTTTAATTAATTCTTTTTTTTTTTCAGAAAAAGACTACAAGCACATTCGCCACTCATTTGACATATGGCACGGTACTAAGAACTTAAAAGAAAATAATGTCGGCAAGTATAAGTATTATTGACCTAGGTTTTTAATAATGTTGCTCTGAGTCAGATCTATACATCCTTTATGCATATCCCTCAGTTATCTGAGATTTGGGGGGCATATAGTTTTTGATCTGTCTGTCTACAAAAACTTCAACCTTGGCCATAACTTTTGAAAGGTTGGTTCTAGCAGGGACATAGTATTGTTTTTGAAGGGGGGCAGCCAGAGAGAAAAAAAATACATCATACCATATATACCAGAGTAGGCTTCCTGATTTCTCACGTCTATACCACATTATAAAACTTCCAGACAAAAGTTTTTTTCAAGATTTAACATTTTGCATCAACAGATAACTTTCGACATATCAATGTCAACAGTATGACAACATCAATTTGGGAGGAAATCAACAACATAGTTTCACAGGGGTTATTTCAAAGTTTTGTTAAAAATAAAAAGCAAAGGAGATAAATTTAAAAAACATCTATAATTGTGTGATTTGATATTTGCTTTATCCAACTTGTTAAAATGGTGTATATTTGCTCGGCAAGACTTGGGGCCATTTCAACTTGTTGGATATATACAGCAAAAATCAAATCACACAATATAGATATCTTCTACGTCACCCTTATTTGACTATACTGCTACAAAAAGTTGAGGGGCCAACCAGCCTTTTAATGAACATTTATAATTGTAAAAAGAGTAATGTTTAGAAAAAAATTTGGGGGGGGGGGGCTCCCACTTCTTGTTATATTTTGAATTTGACAACATGGCACTTTCATTTTATGCTATGATCCTTTGAAAGATCAAACTTTATGGGCAATAAATAAATGTACCAGTACATTATAAAGCTTCAAAAATGTGACACAAAACAAACCCTCCTTTTAAGAAATTATTTATTACATTGCACAGGTTGGACAAGAGACTGATAAGAAGGAACTACTGAATTGGACTAAAGATATAATGAATCACTTTTGGTATTCTGCACAGATCAGTGAAACATACGAAGAATTTATTGTAAGAAGAAGTAATAAGTATCAATGCAAAACTTCACACTTATCACTGATATAAATGTACCACTTATACATGTTTATATTTTTACTCCAAGGGTGTCTGGTTTGGGCTTCTTCATCATGTGACTGACGAGCATGAGTGGATACTGGCATATGGAGACAATGCATCGAGTTCTTGCAGTCAT